TGAGGTCTGAGTTGTGGAAGTACGCCGTAATGCATTGGTGCATTAGTGGGAGAGGGCGACCCAGGCGGCCCCTGTGATGGCAGCCGCAAGGGGTGTGAGGCCTCTGATGGTCCTCACCTGGGGGGGGGGGAAGAGGGCAGAAAGGTCGAAGCAGATGTCCGACAGCGACGTTCCGTGGCTGTCTGACAGCAACGTCCTGGCAGGGAAACCTGAAGAAGGAAGGTAAAGAAGCAAACCTGCTCGAGGGGCAGGTGGTGCTGAGGCTGGAATTCTTGAAAGGGAAGGGGGAAACACAAAAACCAGCATACATAGTTTCGCCCCGAAACTAAATAGGCCCTGCGCACTCGGTACCCTCCAGGGACAACGAATGTGCGCGCAACGTTCAGGTACCGGCTTGTTGCTCGCCCAGCCCCAGGGACAGCTGCACCCAGCAGAGAGCAAAACCGAAGAGGGGCAGGCACCCCCCGAATCAAAGTCCCCCGACGAGCACAAATCTCGTACATACTATGCGGTGCCTAACGCAGCACACGTAACACGCCACGGGTTGAAGCCAGCATGTTCCTGCAGGGCCCTGCCGGAACGTGCTTGCCCGCCCAGGCCGTTAGGAGGAGGATAAGGAGGAGCCAAAGGGTAAGTCTGGGGTGAAGAAGGCGCGGCTCAGGTGCTCCGGCGGCGTGTTCACGGAGGAAGGAGAATCATCATCGCCACCATCAATAACATCATCATCGTCAACGTCGTCATCGACTGGACTCTCACGTAACCCTCCGACCCCCCTTAACCCCTCTGGCCCACACACAGAAAAGGAGAAATTTCCTCATGCACGCCCTGCGCCGCGGACGGGCCCCGCTCGAGCGGACCCGTGCGGGCCCACAGGCCGTGCATAAGGAAATTCGGGTCCTTGGATGGGGGGAGGCGAGGCGCCGTACATCGAGCCCCGCCCCGAACGCCACCCCCCCGATAGCGAGATATTGAGATACCGAGTCCCCGCCCCCGATATCGAGATATCGAGATATCGAGATATCGAATCCCGACCTGGCCCCGCCCCCGATATCGAGATATCGAGATTATCGAGATATCGAGTCCCCGCCCCCGATATCAAGATATCGGGATATCGAGATATCGAGTCCCCCCCACCCCCCCGCGTAAGCACACCCGCGCCAGCGAGCAGGCTGTGCTGCTGCTGGCGCCCCACCTCGGGAAGCAGCCCTTGCCGGGCCCTTCCCCAAGAGGGGCCGGACCTGCTCGCCGCCGAGCCGACACCCCAGCGGCGCGGCGCCCGCCCTGCGCCGCCCTCCGGCCCCCCGGCCGGCGCACTGACAGGCCGCGCGCCGAGCAGGGCACAGGCGGGCCGGCGTGGCTCGCCGCCCGCCTGGCGCCTCAGACAGACAGACAGGCTAACGGACAGAGACAGAGGGAGAGAGAGAGGGAGAGAGAAAAAAAAAAAAAAAAAAAAAAAAAAAAAAAAAACACGACGACGACGACGACGACGACGACGGGCGATGGGCGATGGTTGTGCGTTTGGCAGCGCACACACACACAGAGGGAAGAGGTCTTGTTGGATCTTCACATCACGCCACTCCGCTGGACCCCCCAGAACCTCAGGAAAACATCGACTGCTGCGCTGTTGACAGCACCCAGGGCGGGTTGCGGGGGGCGCTCCGGGACGCGCGTGACGAAGAAGTTGTCGAATTTGTCCGCTCCCGCCTGGCCGGCCGGGGGGGACTCGCGAGGCAAGCCCTCCTGCTCCTCCCGCACCATCCTACAGTCGGCCCGTATCATAAGGATGCGCGATAAGGATGCAAGGGCCTTGGACGCCCATGTCGAAGCTTCTCGAGCGGGGCGCGGCCAAGGATGGACCAAGGAGGCAAGGATGCAAGAGTAGGGTAACCTTGAGAAGGTTGCCCCTCCTCATTATGCGGCTCGACTGTAACCTCCACTCCCGTCCCTCCCTTCTCCATCGCTCCACCCTCCCCATCCCCTCTCTCAATGCTCCTCAGGTCGTGCATGTGGGCGCCAGCGTGTGCTTGTCCACAGAAGCCCCTCAGTGTGGAACAGGCAGTGTAATGAGGGCCGCCACAGGCTGCGTGCTATCGGTGGAGCTGGATGGAGTTGGACAGGGTAAACACACATTGGGCCAACACACGTACTGAGGATCATCGATTCTCCCCTTCTCGCTCACTTCCCAAAAAACTCCAACGTCGTGATTTCACCTCTGGGACCCCCAGAAGTCTAGACCCCTTCCCCAGGGCTGACTTTTCATCCCGAGTCGTTTTCCGACGCTCCCAGAGCTGGGCGAGGGCCCCCAGAGGCCGACAATGGCAAAATCCGTCGTAATTTTCTCGTGGCGACAGAGGTGGGGATCACCCCATCTCTCATCCTGTCCCTCCTCCTCCATTCTCACAGACAGAGCCCCCCCCGCTGGCAGGAGCCTGGACCAGCGGCGGCGAAGGCGCAGGCGCCACCAGGAAAAAATCCAGCGCCGGTCCCAAAAGCCCGAGCGGACCTCCGAAAGGTTCTGACCATGCAGCTTGCCTTAGCCGAGGGGTCCAGAACTCCGACGTCGTCATTTCTGTCACATCGCCTGCCCCTGGAGATCTGGACTCCTTCCCCGTGACCGGTTCTTCCTCCCGAGTTGTTTAGTGACGGTCCCAGGGCTTGGCGAAGGGCCCCTGCTCCTCCTCCTCCTCCTCCTCCTCCTCCTCCTCCTCCTCCTCCTCCTCCGCCTCCTCCTCCTCCGTCGCGATTGTCTCACAACGAGCGGAGGCGGGGTGTGCAGCGTTCTCTTCTTCGAGGAACGGATCACGCACGAGGGGCGGGCGCCCGCCATCGTGACGCCGTCCAGGACAGCGGCGCAGGTCATCCACCTCGGCGCCGAGTCGTCGGTGAGCACCTCGCTCCCATCGGCCCCCCTGAAGGGCAGCGTGGGGGGGGAAGGCTCAGGGGGGGATGCATCGACCACCCGTCGCAGATTGATCGCCGATAGAAACTCGATGGCCCACCCCGCCATGAAGCGTGCAGTGGCCATTGGGGGCCTATCCCCGATCCATTGGCGAAGTACCGCCGATTCCAGCTCGACGTTTCCTCCTGAGCCGATCTCCCCCCCAACGTGGCCCCTCAACTCCACTTCTCCAACGGTTTGCCTACCCAGCTGGAGATGTTGCGTTTCTGCTCGCATTCTGTGTAGCTAACCTCGAGGTCTTTCTGTGCTCCTCCCCTTGAGTTCGAGTGCCACTTGCTCTGATTCCAGCATGAAGACATCATGCGAGTACCAGTAGAAGCGACCAGTTGCCTTGGTAGTCTCACGAGTTCAGGTTCCGTTCGGTTGTCATCCTGATCCGATCGCCGATCGATAGGCGATGTATCGCCGACTCCGGGTCGATGCTTCCCCAGGGCGCACAGGCCAACTCAGGGGGCCAGAGGCATGGATCGGCATGAACGATCCTCGGTGAAACAGCGCAGCGTGTTTTCGATGCTCCATGGCATGAGACTCACTTCCAAACGAGCTGCACGCAGTCTTGTTCAAGGGACGCCCAACATTCTGCATCCTCTGCTCAAACAGGGACAGGCGACCACGTGTGATCCCTACCACTGCGGAGCTGATTTTTCTGAAACGCCGGCTGGGGTTGAGAATTCGAAGCGTGTCTGCAAGCAAGTGCAACCCAGTGGGGGTCTCCCGATACCCCTGAGTCGAGAAGACCCCAAGGAGGTAGGGTTCTCACTCGGTCGGAGAATATACTTCCAACGGTCCGCGCGGCTGTCGTGGAGCGGCGCTGGACATCCCTCGCTGGCGCGCGGAGCGCGCCAGTGGCAGCGCCGGAGGCGCCACCAGGGGCGTCCAGCGCCGAAATCCGCGCGGACCACCGACAGCTTACGTTTATACAATTGTTTCTTCGTCTCTCGACCTAGATCCAGCGAACAGCCCGGAAACCAGAGCCCGTCAAGAGCCCAGAGTGGTCTTCACTCGGTCGGAGAATGTACTTTCAGCGGTCCGCGCGGCTGTCGTGGAGCGGCGCTGGACAGCCCTCGCAGGCGCGCGGAGCGCGCCGATGGCGGCGCCGCCAGGGGGCGTCCAGCGCCGATCCAAGAAATCCGCGCGGACCTCCGAAAGCTCATGTTTACGCAGATGTTTCTTCGTTCGAGGATCCTCAGAACGTGTGTCAGCGCAAACGTGTGTTTACCCTCTGAGGCCCTTCACTACGACGAAGGCGATGTGATGATCGACTGGTTGGGTTGAACGGGGGAAACACATTGGGCTAAGACACGTCCCGAGGATCATCGATTCGTCCATCGACCTAGATCCGAGGAACAGCCCAGAGACCAGAGCCCTTCAGGAGCCCAGCGGTGGTCCTCACGTCAGCGCCTTGACTGCCGGAGCTGCCCAGGCTGTTTCTTCGTCTATCGACCTAGATCCAGCGAACAGCCCAAAAACCAAAGCCCGTCCGGAAACCAAAGCCCTTCAGGAGCCCAGAGTGGTCCTCACGCCAGCGCCTTGACTGCAGGAGCTGCCCAGGCTGTTTCTTCGTCTATCGACCCAGATCCAGCGAACAGCCTGAGAACCAGAGCCATGCAGGAGCCCAGAGTGGTCCTCACTCCTGCGCCTTGACTGCAGGAGCTGCCCAGGCTTGGAGCGGATCACGAGCAGGGCCGCAGAGATGTTCCTGTCTCTGCCCCTGCGGCGGGTTCGTGTCGTGACAACGACGACGACGACGACGACGACGACGACGACGACGACGACGACGACGACTTTCTTCCCAGCTCTGCGTGGATCGTTCAACCTTGAACGATCGATCGGCGGTCTTTCGATCGCCAGATTTTTCCATATTGGCCGATTCAGGGCCACTGGCGGTGCTCAAGCCTCGAACGCCCGCGGCGGGGTCGCCGCCGCGTCGGCGCGAAGCGAGCCTGCCGCACTGACGGCGCACATGCTCTGAACGCAGGGATTCCGACGGCCGCGTCGGCAGAAGGTCAGTCCCGATGTCCGAGCCACGGCTACAACCTGGCCGCTCAGGTGACAGAGTGGGGGCCCGAGGAATTGCTGGCCCAGGAATTGCTCACGCAACGGGCGCCCCCAAAAGACTCAAACGTGCCACATCAGGCGAGGGGGGGAAGCTCACTGCTATCCGCGTCCGCTGTGGTTACAGGCATACCCAGAATGACGTAGACGCGACGGGAAGACAGCGAACGCCCTGGGCTGGAAGCAGCGACGGGAGGAGACGAGGGGCAAGAACGGTTTCCTCCTCCTCCTCCTCCTCCTCCTCCTCCTCCTCCTGCTCCTCCTCCCCCTCCTCCTCCCCATCCCCACAGACAGGAGGGGCGCACTGGGCAAATTCGCTGGCCCAACGGGCCAGAGGCGTGCTAAGATCTCCGGTAACTGGTTAACAATAATTCTAGTTCGCGCACGCGGGGCGGCCCCTGGGGGTCCCCCGGCGAAAAGTACCGACCGCAGCCTGGGAACTATTATTCAGAGATGGTTTCCCTCCTGGGTGCGGCCTTCCACGCCCCCCGGAGCGCGCCAAGAGGGCCAAAAGAGGCCCCCAAGACGGTCCAAGAGGGCTCCGAATCACCGAACGATCGGCCCAAGACGCCCAACACGGCGTCAAGACGGCCCAAGAGGCCTCCAAGATGCCCAAGAGAGCCCCGACCCTTCCCAAGAGAGCCCCAAGAGGCAAAAAATAATGATTTTCCTTAGGTTTTCGAAGGTTTTTGGCTTCCTCGCCTTTTCGCCTTTCCGACGCTCCAAGGCGGCCCAAGAGGCCCCCAAGACCACCCCAAGACGGCCCAAGAGGCCCCCAAGAGAGCCCCAAGACCGCCCAAGAGGGCCCCAAGACAGCCTAAAAGGCGCCCAAGAGGGCGCCAAGAGGGCCCCAAGAGGGGCCCAAGATGGAGACCACGAACCGAAAATCCAAGCCTTCCGCTCCAAGAGGCCTCCAGGACGCCCCAAGAGGCCCCCAAGAGGCCCCAAGAGGCGCCAAGAGGCCCGAAAGAGACCCCAAAAGGCTCCAAAACGGAGCCCCAAGAGGCAAAACTCAGTGATTTCCATTAGGTTTCTGAAGGTTTTTGGATTCCTCGCCTTTTCGCCTTTCCGACGCTCCAAAACGGCCCAAGAGGCCGCCAAGACCACCCCAAGACCACCACAAGACGGCCCAAGAGGCCCCCAAGAGAGCCCCAAGACCGCCCAAGAGAGCTTCAAGACAGCCAAAAAGGCGCCCAAGACGGCCCAAGAGGGCTCCAAGAGGAGCCCAAGATGGAGACCACGAACCGAAAATCCGAGCCTTCCGCTCCAAGAGGTATCCAGGACGCCCCAAGAGGCCCCCAAGAGGCCCCAAGAGGCGCCAAGAGGCCCGAAAGAGACCCCAAAACGCTCCAAAACGGACCCCAAGATACAAAAATCAATGATTATCTTAGGTTTTCGAAGGTTTTTGGCTTCCTCGCCTTTTCGCCTTTCCGACGCTCCAAGACGGCCCAAGAGGCCCCCAAGACCACCCCAAGACGGCCCAAGAGGCCCCCAAGAGAGCCCCAAGACCGCCCAAGAGAGCCCCAAGACAGCCTAAAAGGCGCCCAAGAGGGCCCCAAGAGGGCCCCAAGAGGGAGACCACGAACCGAAAATCCGAACCTTCCGCTCCAAGAGGCCTCCAGGACGCCCCAAGAGGCCCCCAAGAGGCCCCAAGAGGCGCCAAGAGGCCCGAAAGAGGCACCAAAAGGCTCCAAAACGGAGCCCCAAGAGGCAAAACTCAGTGATTTCCATCAGGTTTCTGAAGGTTTGTGGCTTCCTTTTCGCGTTTCCGACGCTCCAAGACGGCCCAAGAGGCCCCCAAGAAGCCCCCAAGACCACCCCAAGACGGCCCAAGAGGCCCCCAAGAGAGCCCCAAGAGAGCTTCAAGACAGCCCAAATGGCGCCCAAGACGGCCCAAGAGGGCCCCAAGAGGAGCCCAAGATGGAGACCACGAACCGAAAATCCGAGCCTTCCGCTCCTAGAGGCATCCAGGACGCCCCAAGAGGCCCCCAAGAGGCCCCAAGAGCCGCCTCTCTCTCTCTCTCTCTCTCTGTGTATTTCTCTCTTTTCCCTCTCACGTCGAGGGGCAGACCTGTCGCAACAGTTACACTGTGTTCATGGCCCCCGCATGAGCGTCCACGAGCAACGAGCCCCCACAAAGGCGCCAGGGACACCCCAGAGCGGCACAACCCAGAAGCCCCGTGGAAACAACGATTCCCCCGACACCTCCTCAGGTCGTCGACGCGAAGCTGCTTCGCGGGGGCAGCTTCAACACCACCATCCCGAACGCAACGCCTCAGAAAAAAACATGTGCCGACCCCTGCAGCTCCGCACTGCCGACGACCTCCCGCCCAATCGACCGCGGTGCATCATCATGGGCCGGCGGAATGAGCGAAGCGATTAAATAAGAGCCGCCCCCCAAGAGAGAGAGGGAAGACATGCGAGCGGGAGGCAGGTACGTGCGAGCGGGCTGGGCCCGCGACGACGTGCACTGCCCCGCCCCGCGCCCCCCCCCCCCCCACGAAGAGCTGGTTGTCGCTGCGGCGGTACTTGAATATGTGGAAAGACTCCCGGAGGTCCGCCGTATATCCGCCGGCCGTGCCCCTGGACGGCGTTGGGCGCGAATCTTATGGAAGGGGCGATACAACGGGGGGAGGAAGTAGGGGAACGAACAATGACAGAAACATAAAAAATCGGAGGTCCGCGCGGATTTCTCGGATCGGCGCTGACCCCCCCTGGCGGCGCCTCCGGCGCCGCCCCTGGCGCGCTCCGCGCGCCAGGGAGGGGGGTCCAGCGCCGATCCAAGAAATCCGCGCGGACCTCCGAGTTTATATGTTTATGTCATTGTTCGTTCCCCTAGACAGGTGCCCTTTTCGGGCCCTAGAAGCCCCCTTTTGGGCCCGACAGGGCCTCTCTGTAGGGGCCCCAAACGGCTCCTTTTCGGCAGCCCTCGTTGCCCCCCGTGTATCGCCCCCCATGAGGAGAAGCATGTTTCTTTCCTACGAAGGGTGGCCCATCGCGCTCTCCTGCCTACGCGTCCTGCCGAATGCTTGGCATCCTGCTGCTGCTGCTGCTGCATTACGCGAAGGCCCACGGCGTGGAAGTGCCAGAACGCCGGGTGCCGTTTGGCAGGGCTTCTGCGAGTCTGCAAGGTCGGGCGCGCCGGAGACGGGGGTCCAGGAGGAGAGATGGCACCAGGAGGGCCCAAAGAGGGCGGCCCCCCGAGGGGAGCCCCAGCGGGCCCCCAGGACGGCCCAAGAGGCCCCCCAAAGAGCGCCCCAAGAGGGCCCCAAGAGGCAGTGGTTCGGCCTCGGAAGGGGAGGGCAGCAGGGGAGAGGGAAAGTAAGACTCCATGAGAGATCTTTTGTGGATGGGCTGACGGGAACACGCGAAGCGTCTCGCAGAGAAACGAGAGGTGTCACACGTTGCGGCCTTCGGTACCCGAAGCGCCGCTGCGCAGAGAGCCGCGCTGGCGCGGTGGCGGGACTTGCCGCAGGCAGCCGGATATCTTCTCGCCCTTGACGTGGATCCACATGATGCCCTCAGGTATGTTCTTGTACTCGCACTTCCTTGACGGGGGGGAAGAGGAGGAGGACAAGTAGAAGGAGAAGGAGGAGGAGGAAGAGAAGGAGGAGGAGGAGGAGGAGGAGGAGGAGGAGGAGGAGGTAGAGGGGGAGGAGGAGGAGGACGAGGAGGAGGAGGAGGAGGACGAGAAGGAGGAGGAGGAGGGGGAGGAGGAGGTAGAGGGGGAGGAGGAGGAGGAGTTTTTGTCCCCCCAGGGGATAAAACATACATCTGTTTAAAAACTTCGAGCCTCCTCCTCCTCGCGGGCGGCCACACACTGCCGCAGGGCCTCCAGAGCTGGCAGCAAACCCTTCTCCGACGGGCGGAGGTAGACCGCCCGCTGCTGAGGCTGATGTGCGAGAAGCATTCGCTCCTGCTCCATAGCACTTCAGATGTGGAGCGCAACACCTGGGGTTCGATTCGACTGGATGCAAACCCCTCAGCATTCGGCTAAGCCGACACCGAGAGGCAGACGACTCGGGACAGCTTCGGCACCGCTTCTCGAGGAGGCCACTGCGGCGATCCTGGCTGCAAGCACCGCGGCGTCGGCAAAACACGAGAGATGGTCCAGACGATAGTCTTGTAAAGACAAGGTCGTGGCCATGCTGTGAATCATCATGCTAAAACTTAAAGTTAGCACGCCTACCGGGACATCCACGCATGTCGAAACGTACAGCAGTAGTGTTGCACATGCGCTTATGGCAATCATGACATATGAATGTGCCAGGCGCGCCAGGCACAGCCATCCAAGCGTGCCAACGATCAGCGCCCATGTGCCTAAGCCTCTGGACCCTCTGCTTTTCAGAGAACTGGGCAAACGGAAAAAGGACTGAGACAGCCCCGACCATGCGGGCCACGGCGCGGGCCACGGCTCGGGCCTTCGCGACCAGGGTGTCAACATCAGCCAAAACTCGTCCTTGGCGCACTTATCGGCTCAGAAGCTTCCATGTACAATCCTACGCTCGTCGCCGGGCCTCGCATCGATTTCATATGTACTACGATGGGCCTTAGTGTGGCTAGCAACGCAGTCCAGCATACTTAGACTTGCCACGCACCTGCTGTGCCACGGTCTGGTTGTGAAGCCTACGCACGCCTACACAATCAGAGTGCACGGCAATCCTCCTACGGGAAGGAAGGCAAGGGCACGCACCGCCATCAGCTCTCCTGCCTGGGGGGTATGTGGGAGGCTCGGCCAGACGGGCCCAAGAAAGCGAGCCGCGACCTCCTCCGAGCCAGGGGCGAGAAACACTCCCGCATAGGCAGCCCTTGACAACTCCCGGATCGGGGAACGAGCGCGCGAACCGTCGACCACGGCGTCCGAAGCCCCCTCGAGGACCGAAACTTGAATCAAAGGCTGCCCGCGCGGGCCCAGAAGCTAAAGGGGCCCCAGGGCACACAAATAAATACACACAAATAAAACTATTCTCCATAGTTTCCCATATTTTTAGAGTTTCTGTCATCCCCCCCACTTCCCATATTTTCCCATATTTTCTGGGGGGTCGACGATTAAGAGTGTCTGTGTGCTTTGTTCCCTCCTTAGAAGCTCAGGGGCACAGCTCGTCGGCAGGAAGAGGGAGGACACACGAGGGGTGCAAGAAGACAAGCCTAGTCCACAGTAGGTCAAACAAACCGGCCTCATGCGCCCCACGAATCACATCCTCAGACACCATCTCTCGCCTCTCGAACTTCAGGGCGATGGCAACACCAGAGCCTGCGGTGCAAACTGTCTGCTGCACCGCACAAAAGACACTGTGAGTCGACATCGTACCCAACATTGCACAACTCATCATTAGTATATACAGCCTTGGCGAAGACTGAAGCGATCGCATACTTCTGACGAAGAATGAACTTCTTACTCGTACAAACGAATGCGCGCACAAGGTCAGCACATACACGCTTGTCACTTCGCTCGTTCGTGCCTCTGACCAACATGAACATGTCACGCTCATGTTTACGCTGCACACCTTCACGGAGCAAAGAGCTCAGCATAGTAGGAGATGCGTGTAGCAAAGATAACTCAACTCCTCGATCATCGATCCATTCCACATGCCGTCCTATGCGATGCAAACAGAGGACCACGCGAGAAATCGGCCCCCTAGATCGACGCCATGTGCGATGTTCCTCGAGCTGACGATCCATCACTGCATACATTCGTACAAGATCCTGCATCGTAAACAACGCGCGTTCAGGTGCAACAGCGGCCTCCCATACAGCACTCGCCCACATCGTAGCTGGCGCCACACTTGCATCGGCCATGGGATCGCCATGGAGCACGCACCTGGGCACCAAAGAAGCTCCTCGATGTGTCGGCGCACGACAACTTAAAAGCATAGCTCGAGCTCGCTTAACTTCATGATCTGACATGCCCAGCACTGCACTGCCGCATGCTAGCGCTGGTTCCAGACCAGCAGAGTGGATAATGCTCATTTGGTGCTTTCCGCGATTCAACCACCTGCGAAAACAGAGAACTCGAGAGTGCCGAAGTTTGAAGGCTCGAAACCGTTCACGTCGCGTTCGAAGGGCCTTCGGAGCACCCCTAGCATGCCCGGGGGCAAAATCAACCCCCAAATTGAGCGACGCATTCGCGACGGAGCCTTCTGGGAGACCACGACGACGAAGTTGAACGGCTAAGGCCGCTGCTAACGACGGGCCGCTTGCGACCGCAATAGCTTTCGACTCCGAAATCTGAGCTCGAAGGTCATGCTTAAACATATCATGAAAATCAGCTGCTGCATCCGGCACGACTCTATCACCTACAGCCATGACCGCGTCATCATCGACATGCGAAGATAAGCGGATCGACGAATCCTGCCACCTGCTCACAAAGTTGCCGAAGGCACCGATGGCACACACCCTAACATCAGCGTCGTTAAAGATGTCGCCAGCTGGCAGGCCACTCGCTGCAAAAAGCGCCACGGGATGAAAAGGCGCGCCCAGACGCACAAGCCGAGGAGATCGCCAGAGGTTGAACATCGCCTTGACTAGTACCCCTGGTGCTCCCCACTGATAGGCCCGAGCACTCAAAAGCTTCACATCGAAAGCCTCGTACTATTTCTTACCACCCCACTGGACCCCCATGAAGACCTGATCTTGAGACGATGCAACCTCGGAGACGGCAGCCTGAGCCCAGACGCAGGACTCTGCGCTCTTGCCTGCCCCAAAGGCCCAGTACGCTCTCTCAGCAGAAGCAAAAAAGGGGTCTAGCTGCGGGCGTCGCAATCGTTCCCACACTCGCACAAAAATAGCCAGCAACCGAATAGCACGATGACCACCAGCAGGCCCCCCCCAAAAAAAAAAAAAAACTGGGGGGCGCGCCAAACTTCCCCACCGCCGCGTAAAGAATACTCAGGGCGAACACGCCAGCATCCCCAAGGAGAGAGATTGTCAAAGGATGAAACCCATCCAAGGTAGATGCCGTGAAGCTAGAAGACTGCGCGACGCCCATCGAATCTCACCCACTGAAGGGGGAAACATTCACGATCTGGCACAGCGGCGGCGGGCACCGGGACGGTAGCTCGCCATTGTCTTCAAAGACTCGACCTACGCATCCACTACTGCGTCTGGACTGCTCGAGAAGATGCCTGGCGCCTTCTCAGCCACAGTCGGGCGCCACTGCTGCTGAAGGCGAGCAATCTGTTGCATGACCTTCGCCGATCCTTTTAGTGTTCCACGAAATCGCGCGTAGCTTAACTATCTGCTTGGTGGCCCCGTCAACTCAGCTCGTAGCTGACCTCGAAAACACGCAGCTCTCGGCCACCATGGCAACAAGGCACGAGCTGCGAAGTCCAATTGAGCAGGGTAATCACACATCAGTCATCGAAGGGATTGAACATAGGAATCAAGTCGAACATCCAAACCTTCACCTGAGTAGACTTCAGACAGACATGCCTGCGTCAGACTAAGCGCCGCTCCGCGTGTACTCAAGTCAGGAGCGCCTGCAGCCATCGCCCCAAATTCGTGCCACACTCGACGAAGCCATTGCCAACCTCGGCACACTTGTAGATCATCCTTCGCGTTGTTCTTCTTGCCGAGGACAGGCGCCCATCGACGGACGAGGAATTGATGTCGGGTCGGCCGTGAGATGGGGCGACCCGAGGTCGCCGCCAACTCCCGCTCAACGTCGCCAAGAAAAACGGCCCCAGCACTACTAAGCCGCGCCCATGCTGCCGCGGCCGCATCACGCGAAGCAGCCCGCGTCGCCGCTTCAGCCAGCTCCAAGCCAGCACAACCAGGACGAGGCTCAGGTCTCGGTCCAACAGGCGGGTTGACTGGCAATCGCGCGTGGGCACAATAAACCAGCTGCTTGAGTTGCACCACGCCAAGTCGAAGATGCAGACAAACCAGTTCGCGCGGTCCCCCACGCCACTCCAAGCCACTCGCATCTCATCAACCAATCGCACAACATCATGAGAACAAACAAAGAAATCAATCGTAGAAGCACTGCTCGCCGTGACACAAGCGCGGCGAACTGGGGCAACTGCGATGAGACTTGTCTTTCGTGTGAAGCCACTCTCCTCAATGATGGATGGCTCGATATTCCAATCAGCTCCCACCATGATGGCTCCAGAGGTCTCCTCGACCGATGTGCCCAGCTTCCTCAGGATGTGCATATTGGCCTGGTCAAGACCAGCACAGGTGTGGAGGTACGCCAAGTAGACGGCGAAAGAGGGCCACTCGGGTATGTCAACCATGACAGAGATGATCCGACCCTTCACAATCTCTCCACCATGAGGTTTCCACTTCGTGCCAAGATGGTGGCGAACAAACACGGCAACACCAGCAGAATGCGATCCATGCTCTCGATTCTCCAATGGGTTCAAGAACCACCGGTCCTAGTTGCACTCTGAAAGTCTGTGATCGGTTCAGGCCCAGTACCAGTCTCCTGAGCACATACGACGAGAGCTTAGCTAATACGTAGCGTATCCAAAAGCGTCGATCGGCAGTTCCCATAGCTGGATACAGAAGAAACGTGAAGACGGAGACGGCGCCACTTGGGCGCCGATAGAAACATTGCCAGCAAACCACCAGCATTGGGCCCTACTGGGGCACCACCAGGCCATTCGCCGAAAGAGGGAGGCCGCTCAAGTAGATGCCACTACCCAAACTGTTGTCCTGCTCCTGCGGCCGCAGAAGCAGCGACTCGTGCCCTTTTGACGCCCGTCTCCTGAAGACACTGCTCGAAAGCGCGCTTGTCGCCCGTGACAGTGAGAAGCCGATCCACATCCTCAGGAGAAAAACCATCCATGGGAACATCTGCGGCTTCAGGTGCTGGAGGTACCACATCAGCCGAAGGAGCGGGAGGGCCCGCTGGGGCCGTTTATCTTCGCTCTCCATGACCACGGTTGGCAGCTCGAGCTTCACCTGCACTGGTGCGTTGACCCCGCCATCGGGCATCGTGCGGCGCAGCTCCTGCTCGAGGGCTCGCACCTCACGGTCCTGCGCTGCAGCCTTCTCCTGCAACTCCTGGAGAAACTTCTGCGCATGCTGGGTGAGCACCTTTTGAGCCTCCACTGCCTCAGCTGCCTTAGCCTGCTTGCGCTGAGCCGTCTGGAGGCGGAAAATCATTGAAAACCTTGTTGAGTATCAAACTTCTTCTCGATGGCCGCCGTGATAGTCGCCCACCAGGTCGGGGGTCGGTGGAGCCCCGTCAGCCCAGCGTCCCTTTGGCAGCCGAGGAGCACCCGTAGGTGGTTGCTGCGCCCACTCCTTCTCACGGCGACGTGCCACATTCGCCACACGTACAGGAGCAGGAGCACCACAAACACAGCGGATTCTGCAGGCCCAGTTCGCAGTGCGAGTGCACTTCGTACAAGACCAATGAGGCATGCGAGGGCCTCTGAGTACGTATCCATCATCAGAAATGCTCGACGCGAGCACAGCAGAAGACGGGAAATCGATCACTGAATAGCTTGGCCCGTCGAGGCAGGCCGCTCTGAAGTTTGCCTCGACAAGCTCAGAAAAACTTCTGAGCCAGAACAGCTAGGAGGAGAGGAGGAGGAGGGGAAGGAGGAGGAGGAGGAGGAGGAGGGGGAGGAGGAGGAGGAGGAGGAGGCGGAGGGAGAGGAGGAGGAGGAAGAGGAGGAGGAGGAGAAGGTGGAGGAGGAGGAGGAGGAGGTGGAGGAGGAGGACGAGGAGGAGGAGGAGGAGATTGTCTCACGGTTTGACATTGTCTCACATGGAGGGGACATCTAGCCGAAAGCGGCAATCTACATCGCCGACAGATCGGCGACGGGCCCTCGATCTGCGAAGCCACGCGTCCACCCGTCGGGGGTCGGGTCCCTATCGTTAGGTCGGGCATGTCCCCCTGCAGGCGGCGCTTGCACGAAAAATTCAAAATAGACAAACAAATTAAATACAGCAAAAAAAAATGTCGACATATCGTCCCCTGACTGTTTTAATTGTTTTCGAATATTCCTCATGCAGAGGGACATGCCCAACTTAACATTTCGGCGATGATAGGGCGACTTGGGTCGATGCATCCCCCCTGAGCCCATCCAATGGTGTTTTTGTCGGGCCATACCTCGGAATTCCGCGCCTGTTCGGGACGATCCGAGAACCCCCCGAACGCTCTCCGCGAGGCGCGGCCGCCGGAAGGCACCCCGAGGCCACGAAGCCGCCGGGAACCCACGAAAACGCCTGAGAGAACCTCGAACCTCGAAACTTGGCCCCCCTCCCCCACGAGCCTATCTCCCCCCCTGACGCTGCGCCCGATCCCTGCCCGCGTTGGCTTCAGGGGGGGAGCGAGGCCGAGTGGCGCGGCTGGCAGACCTCCGCCAGGAGAGGCTCGTGGGCGAGGGGAGGGGGCGGCACAGGAGAGACTCGGTAGCGTGGCTGACAGCCACAACTGGTAGGAAGGAGCACGATAAGGATCAAAGAAGAAAAAAACGCCATAGCGCTCCGCACGGATTTCTTGGATCTCCGCTGGATCCCCCTCCCTGAGGCGCGGAGCGCGCCAGGAGCGGCGCCGGAGGCGCCGCCCGGGGGGCCTAGCACGGATCCAAGAAACCCGCGCGGAGCGCCAAAAGCTTATGCTGATGTTGTTTTTTCTTATATGAAAGACGCAAGGGCCGTGGACGCCAAAGTCGGAGTTTTTCGAGAGGGGCTGGCCATCAGGGGGGGGTTGAGGATGGACCGAGCGGGCTAGGATTAGGTCGGGCATCTCCTTCTACAGGCTGATTTTGGAAAGAAAAAATTCCAAACATCGTCCCATGACAATTTGTTAACTATTTCGGAATTTTCCTCCTGTAGAGGGCCACGCCCGACTTAACGCAAGAGTGCGAGGGGGGTCCCCTTGGGAGGGTAGCCCAGCCTTGCTCCACAGGATTCGACTGTAGGCCTCCCTAGGTGCGAGAGCAGCAGGCTGGATCTGGGCGAGGAGGACAAGAGCGGAAACGACGACGCCGCGATGCTCGTCGCCGTCGTCGTCGCCGCCGCCGCCGTCGTCGCCGTCGTCGTCGTATTCCTCGTCGCCGCCGCAGTCGTCGTCGTCGTCGTCGTCGCCGTCGCCATCGTCGTCGTAGCCGCCGTCGTCGCCACCATCTGTAAATAATGATCGTAATCTCTCCACCCACAACCTCTTGATGCAAGAAGCAATAGATAGAGTATGATATGATGTTATACCGAATCAGGCTAGACAGTCGTTGAGTGCGTCCACCCTCCCGCCACAGCTGGCGGATCCACAGCCAAAATGGCCGCGGTAAACAAGAGAGTGCAAGCATGAGCGAGCGAGAGCAGCAGCAGAGAAAATTCTAACTATCATCATATATCTCACATCCCTGCTAATACAACTTCCACACAGGAAAAGGAAACGTTGCTAAAGAATGCCTTGGCAAATTCTGCAGCCATCTTCCAGAATATTCAATAATATTATCGGCTCGAAAGGTCAAGCTACCGTCCGTGCACCAAGCAACAGATATCACGATAAAAGAAATCCACGCACCGAGCAACATATATTAATATATAAAGATATTTACCTGAGGTCTGCGCACCGAGCAACATATATCAATATATATATATATAAATATAAATAGTTACATGAGCTCTTGAGGGGGTGCTTTCACTCAGCATATGTAAATAACAATCCAAATCACTCATCATCCTCACCACCATTCACATCTGAGCCACTGCCATGGCTGGCTCAAAGATATCGTCACATATGTCGTAGTGGAGTTCAGCGTACACGCACTGCTGATTTGATGATGCTGTATGCAATGTAGCTATTGATGCTCGGGTCGAGGTTATAACTCCTGCTCTCGTCTGCGTCCAGCTTGAGACACCGTCCGAGGCAGTTTGCATGGTGCCTGTCCTTCGTGTAGAACGTCTCGTAGCTGTCGCCCTCGTACTTGCCACTCCTGATTATCGTCGGCCCCATGGTCTCCAGCCACTGCCTCAATAGAGCACTATCTCCCAGCATGATTGGTCCATCTCCCATGATCTCGTCGTCATAGGTCTCTGGATCGGCTCGTACTGCGATGGTTGTCGTAGCTTTCGGCGCGGCCTTCGCCGTCCTGGATTTGACCTTGACCGGCTTCTCGGGCAACTCCGGCTTGAACAGGTTGTCGCTGGTTGAACTATCCACCTCCATCGGCTCAGCCGTGTCCTCGTCGTCGTTCTGCTTAGGCTGCATTATGTAAATGAATCTGATGATACCCGCGATGATAGAGACCACTGTCACCACCGTAGGAGACATCGAAAGACAAACTCGATACACTGCAAGTGCACAGAGTTGAAACATAACTACAACTTGGTCAGGTATCTGGATGGCTCTCTGCGCGCCGGGTAATTGTCCGTTAGCTCTTCCGTGTAGAATGCCTCGACGTAGTCCTCGTCTTGAGCTTCGTCCTTGTCGTCGTAGAAGCACTCATCCACGTAGTTGTACGTCTCCACCGGCCACGTAGAGATCCCCTCGTCGCCCGTCCCGGTGTCGCCGCACAGCTCCTGCTTGACGTCCTTGGCCATCTTCGCGTTTAGCTCGTCTACCTCTTTGTTGGCTGCCACTTTCTCTGGTCCAACAAGCTTTCGCCCGCGTATTGATGGCGCCCTGTCACCAGGCCCAAGAGTCCACAAATTTGATGTAACTATCTTCCTCGCGTAGCCTCCTGGAAGTACTTTCGTCAAACAGTCCGCTCGCATCTGCTCGCTCTTGACCCACTTGATGCTGACCTCTTTGAGTGACTGCCGCAATATAGCCGCTTCCAAAGAAAGCCCCCTGTCCGTCATAGAAATCTTCTCCTTTGTGATCGCGCCGCATAGGCTCTTGCAGTTGGTCACCGAAATGCATTTCACCGGGCAAATGTCGTGCACAGTCTCGGTCATGTCCATCTCCGGGTACAGGATCTCCGCCAGGGTCGACCTCGTCCATATCAACATGCCCACCGAATCCGCACATGAGCATGCCTCCGCCGATAAAGTAGACCGCACCACTCGTTGACTCTTGGAGGACGGCCACCCAATGCAGTGTACCTTGTACTTGTTGCTGTGGTCCTCGTTGATCTTCTGGTCGCCCAGCATGATGAAGTGTCCGCGTTGCGATCTGTGCTTCGGCAGATCGTCGAAAGCACTGCCGGTGACATTGATCACCATGGTCTTCCACAGGTTCAGGCCTGCTGAGAACCTAATCAGCAAGTCGGTCCGCTTCTGGATCCGCCTGATGGCCGCGCTGCCGTCCTGTAGGGCCTTCACCGTTGGAGCTCCCAGCGTAGATGCCAGTCGGGATGCCTCGAAGGCTTCCTCGAAGCATATCACTCGCGCAGCCCATTGCAGTTGTCCAACTACCATTCGTAGTCCACGATGCTCTGCATGGGTCAAGGCGCTATATGGTGCCTTGCTGCGCTCTCTGGAGATACGTGCAGTCTGCATCGACTTCACGTAGGCCTCCATGGTGACGTTGATGCTGCCGTCCTTGTCCTGCTTGTAGGCCCGGCCACAGAACGTCGCCTGCTCTTTCCTCGCGTACTTGACCTCGCCAAAGTCGATCTCCTTCTGCAGGTCCTTCATGATCTTGGCGCCCTCCGGGTCGCCCTGCTTGATGCCCATGAGGAAGTCGTCCACGTGCAGGCACACGATCCCGATGATCGTGCCCTTCGCATTGCGCTTGATGAAGGTCGCGGGCTCGAAGCTCAGGCCTTTCCATCCATGCGTAGTGCCACATACCACGCACGAGCTGCATCGTTGGTCCCGTAGATGCTCTCGTTTAACTTCAGCAAGTCGCCTGCCTCTTCTCCTGGGATGTTGCACTTCCCGAGGTTCGTCGGGATACGGAAGTAGAGCTCGCGTGTGATGGCTTCTCCTTGCAGAAAGGCCCCTATTCACATCTGCAATGACTAGGTCCAAGTTGAGGCTTGATACGATGCTGCGCAGGAGTAACGTCATCTGTGCTGAGACTGTAGGTGAGTCCCGTCGTAGCTTGTCGTCGAACTCCTCCTCGTAGCCTCTCCCACAGATCCTGGCCTTCGGCAGGTCGTGGGGCCCTTATCGGTCCAGACCACCTTGGAGCTCAGGATCTTGTCCGGGTCGACCCTGTCGACTGCTGCTCCTGATTTGTGGGTTGCTGCATCGTACTTGCACCACGTGTTCCACTCCTTCTCCACCGCCTGCTGCATCTTCTTCCACTTGAGCTTGTCGTCGCCCAGCGTCTTTAAATTGATCTCTTGATGCTTGTTGGCCCTCGTCGGTTGGCTGCGCATCCGCTCGGCCACGAACGCCTCGACGAGTAGCGGTGCATCTGCCAGCTGCTTGACTGGCCCAGTCTGCGCCCGTGCTCGTTTGATGCTGATCGGCACATCGTTCAGCAAGAACTCCTTGATCGTGACTGGGTGCTCCTGGCGCTTGCCCTGCGCAGGCTGTCTCGTGCTTGACGATGATGTAGCCGGCTGATCCTGCGGTGCCTCTGCTGGTACTGCTGCCGTCTCCTCCGCCTTCTGGCGTTCTTCCATGTGCCTCTGGATCCTGGCAGGCATTCGAAGCTGAGCTCGATCGTCCTGGGCGTCGTCCCGCATGGTCTGCTTGAGCTTCAGGTCCTTCTTGGTGTGCTTCTTGCCTCCGCGCTTCACCTCCTCGGGTTCCTCCATGGCCTCGTCGGCGTTGGTAGGCCCCTGCGGGGCTGCTGCAGGCTGTTGGCCACCTCCTGGTCCATCTCCAGCTTCCTCTTCCTTTCCCCGGAGTGATCTCCTCGATGATCGTGATGGGGTCTTGCGATACCACATCGTCGATGATCTGAGGATTGGCTGCCCAGTCCACTCTCGAGATATCTTGAACCAGGTCGCGCGTGTCCGAATTGAGCACACTACACAGGCTCTGTACACCGCGATGCCTTTGCACACCACCAATGCGGCAGAAATGGCACGTGCGTGCACCACGGCGACTGAGCACATCATGACAGACGTGCACCACAGCGCCCTTGTACATCTCACTGTTGGCGCACACCGCGGCGCCCGCGCGCACCGCAGCTGCTGTTTCAACGCCTCGCATTTGCACCAGAATGCCAGCGCGCACCACAAAGCTTGCGCACACCTGCAAGGCACCGGCGGAGCGAAAGTCCAGAAGATCGCTCGGGGCCCAACCGTGGCAATTTCATCATGTGAGCTGCTTGTGGATCTGAGTTTTTCTGGTTCAAAAAGCGCTCGGACCTGTTGAGCCCGCAGCGCCTGTGCACTCCATTGCGACTGTGTACATCATGGGAGTGTGAAGCGTGGCGCCTGTGTATACCACATGGCATGTGTGCACCACAAAGCATGTGCACGCCTTTTTTTGTGCGGAGTGCAAACCACGCACCGTGGGGGCGCGCGGGGCGGCGGCAGCCTAGGGAATACAGGAAGCAGGAGCTCCCTGCACAGGCACAAGGCCCTTGAGACATGGATCGACGGCTGGAGCGTGCACGCGGGTGCGTCGTCGTCGTCGCCGTCAGTTGCGACGGCGACCGGGGGGGCGACGGCGGCGGCGGCGGCGACACAGGCGGCGGCGACGGCGACCACGACGACGACGACGACGACGGCGGCGGCGACGGCGACGACGCCGACGGCGGCAAGCGGCGGCGGCGGCGGTGAAGGTGACTGCCGCCGCCGTCACTGCCGTCGTCGTCGCCGCCGATGCCGCCGTCGCCGTCGCCGCCGCCGCCGCCGCGTCCGCAGCCACTTGCCGAAATCTTCAGCAGCGCTTGGGGCCCACTTGCTGGATACACATGCGGGGGGCTGGCGTGACCAGCCGCGCGAGGTAGGAGGGCAGAGCGCTGGAAGGTCACGCGGCCACATCCGCGCGCAGGTCTCGCCCAGGCCAGCCCCTTGCACCAGCACAGGGAGAATGGAGGGAAGACAGTGGTAGTAGTCATAATGATTTTGCGAGAGTGCACCGGCTGGTTGCGCCATGGCTTGCCCGATGCGTTACACCACACGTTGTGCTTGCGTACAATTACCTGCGCCATAGGTTGAACCGTAAGCTACGCCATAGGACGCGCCCCCAGGGCGTGCCATAGCTTGCGCCATAGGTTGCGCACCCAGGGCGCCCCACAAATCGCGCCTTACGTTGCGCCTTAGGTTGCGCCCTCAGGGCGCGCCATAGGTTGCGTCGATGGTTGCGCCACAGGTTGCGCCAAAGGCGGGGCCACTTTGCGGCGCTGCGCTTCAACGGAACTCCTGGCGCGCGCACTGCTCGGGGAAACGTCGCGCTGGCAGGCGGGCGTCGGGACTCCGGGCGCAGCCCGCGGGATAATGACAACGGACGCGGCAGGGATGACGACGACCATTCTGTGGCACCTGTGGCGCGCCACGCCGCCGACCAAGTGCTAAAGCGCAGCGCCCGCTGGCACTGCCCGCAAGATTTGGCGGCGAGCCGAGGGGGGAAATGACAGGGGGGCGAGCCTTCTGAGAAGGCTCAGAAGGCCCCTGGCCTTCTGAGAAGATGTCCAAGCCTCCCCCGAAGACACGGAGGGCTTCTCTGAAGGCCACGGGGCTTCTGAGAAGTCCCGCCGCCTTCTGAGAAGGCCCGCCCCCCCCCACTCCCCCCCTGGGCTCGCCGCCGAAAGATATCCACTGGAGGTCGCCCATGAAGAAAACAGGTCCCACAAGAGACGGGCTTCGGACCGCACGGACAGCCCTCGTGGACCGGCACTGCTTCAAGGGAGCCTCCCAGGCCCGAATGGGGCCCCCTAGCAGCAGAATGGCATTCAACCTCGAACGCCCGCGCCGGGGTCGCCGCCGCTGCGGCTGCGACGACGACCGGCGAAGAGGGTGCAATTCCCGCCACCCTTCGCGAGAAGGGCGCCGAAGCTCCATGACGTGACGATATGTTTTTCTAACGGATAACTTCTGCGTAGCACACTCTGGCAGTCATAGCGCCGCCTTGACTGCAAACCAGGAGCCTGACGGGCGCACACGCATATATACCTATATACAAGTGAGACTAGCACGGCAGGCTCACATCAGCCTTTAAACCCCAATTCTGCCCCAAAGCTGGCGTGGGCCAGTTCACACATTTAGATGAGATGGCCTTACGGGGGCAAGGAGCGCAGCGGCTAGCGAGCGTGAGAAGCTCCTAGGAATAATGCGGTTTCTTCAGCTTCAGAGCCCCAGGGCGACGCCGACGCCGAGGGCCTTTCTCACGCAGTCCGTCCATGTCCTGAGTGCCGACTCCGAACGACACGATGGCAAGGGGAAGGCGGTGTCTACTGCCGAAGACACTCAGCGTGTTATCAACTCGCGCCTCGGAGCTCAGAGTGAGGCGCTCCAGCATGGGATTGAGCTCACTCCCGCAGTTGTAGTGGATCATCCAGCAGGGCACGTCGACTTGACGAACTGCACAGCATACGCGATCCACGTGCCAGGAATGGCCAAGGTTGAAACCCGCTTCCATCAGCACGCCCAAGATCCGCCCCCGCTTTGGGCCCGAGACCAGGGAGGCCGCAACCTCGTGTTCCGAGCGCCCCTCTGCCATGCATTTGATCTTGAACCCTGACGGCCGCAGAGCCCGTCCGATCTGCTTGCTGCGTAGCCCCCAAACTGAAATCCAGCGAGACGCGCCCCCACAGGTGGTCGGGAACCGAGCGCGAGAGCCCGCGTCCAGAAGCACACCACGCACTGGCTCGCGCCCCCCGCGACCTGCGCAAGCAACCAGCTCGGCGCGCGAGGCGGAGAGCGCCCGCGACTCGGGCAGCCGCCGCGAGCCGCGGCCAGGCCGTGGCCACCCGGGCGAGCTCTCCACCCGGCGACGCCCCCCGCGTCCAGCCTTGCCGCAACCAGCTGCCACTCCTGCGAGACCTGGCGGGGAGCCGACAGGCCCAGCAGCCTGAGTCACCCCCTCCTTTCGCCGCCGTCGACCGTAGGATCGAACGCGTTCGAAATGGCGCGCAACAGCCAGACAGGCCTCCGCTCCTCCGCGCCGATGGCGAGCCTTGAGGTGGCCTCGCCCACTCGGCCCGCGGCCAGCGTCAGGCCCCGAACGCACGGGCGCCTCGACTCCAGGACCCGCCGAGCCAGCTGCAGCGCCTCTGGCAGCACCGCCCGCAGCTCCCGCCTCCGACGCAAAGCTAGGCAGAGTGTCGCACGGCCCGAAAGTGGGGCGGGTTGAGCTTGAAGGCCCAGGCTGAGCCAAAACGACTACGGGACGGCGAGGATGCACGGGCAGCCCTTCTATCTTCGGACCCCGCCGAGCCAAAAAGCCAATCGGCCAAGCGCAGGACGACGGCTCGCTCAGGCCGAGAAACGCAGCCACCTTCGCGGCGCACAGGAGGGGGCAGGAGCGCAGACAAGCTCAAGGCCGCGAGACCCCCCTGGCGCCGCGAAAGCGGCAAAAGACAATCAGACAGCTTCAAAACACGTCGATGGGGTGCGACCGAAAGACGGGGGGCAGGGCCCCCCCTCCCCTCCATGCCACTTTTTGAATTAGCCTGCCCCGAAAAAAACCCGGAAGTACAACTTTCAGGGGGGCAAGAAGAAACATCCAAAGCAACTTCACCAGGGCTTCGCAATGGCCCTTTCACGGCCCCCTGAGACGGCGGCGACGAGAAAATCCGCGAAGGCCAATCCGCAGGACTTCGCTCCGAGGGAACCCAACGCACAGTGAGACGGACATTCCTGGTTAGGCACAAAGCGGCAAGCTCTCTCAAAATCACGAGCAGCTTATAGTTCCTTGTGCGATACCTGTCACAGCAGAGAACAAGAGCAAGATTGTCGCTGAACAAGAGCTGCCTCAAGTTGCGGCCAGGGCGAGCGAGGAGGGCGCGCTCAGCCCCCGCCAGGAGGGCACGAACTTCGAGGAGCAGAATGTTTTCCTCGAAGCTAAAGGGCCACCCTCCGCACACATGCCAGGCAGCCTCGCCCGAATCGCCAGGCGAGATCTCTTCGAACTCTCCCCGCGCATCCAAGCCCTGGGCCCCTATCGCCCCCAGGGCCGCGAGGCTGGCCAGCTGCGCGGCGCCCCCGTCACTCAGCAGGGCGGCACCGCGGGCGCGCGCATGCTCTGGGTGCCTGAAGCGCTCTCGCTCTCGAAAGCGACCGTAGCGAGCGGCTCGCGTTGGCCCCGGCGCGCGCGGGCAGACGCCGAAGCCCTCCTCCGACGCGTCGGCGGCGCAGACGACGCCGTTCCACGGCAACTCCCACGACGCCACCAGCGTGACCATCAGCCCCAGGAAGCACTCTAGCTCGCACCGCGCGCTCGCCCAGAGCTCGACCGCCCTGTAGCAGTTGCTCTGGAAGAAGCTGCACACAGCGCTGAAGCAGCCCAGGCTTCCCCTGCGAACCAGCCCCGCGAAGCGCAGCGCCCGATCACGACCTCGATCGCGCGCCCGCTCACACGCCGCCGCCGCAGCAGGCCACGAAGGCCCCGACGGAGGCGCCAGAACCGCTTGCTGCTCAGGCGGGTGTGGCGGCGGGTCGCGTCCAGCACGACCCCAAGCGCCTCTGTCTCGCCCTCGGAGATCTCCAACTCGTGCGCATTGAGCCCCGCGCCTCGCAGCTGCGCACCAGCCTCTCCATGGTCTCTTCTACCACCTGCCTTCCGCCTCCGAACACGCCCACGTTGCCCGCGTAAACGCAGTGCCGAACTTCGACTCCATCGCGAAGACAGCGAAGCAGAAGGGGCCTCCCGTGGTCCACCAGGAGCCCGCACCTATCGACGACAGACGCGGCCGCCTCCTCGTCGATGTCCTGCGCGAAGAACAGCGACCAGGTGAAACCCATCGGGAGCGCCGCGGCCAGCGGCGCAATCTCGCGGCCCGCGTCGACGAGCTCTCCTTCGACCGTGTCCACGCCGAGCTCGCCCGCCGAGACCGAGGGCAGCCCGAAGAACTCGCACAGGTAGCCGGGCATCTTCATGCGGTGGAAAGCGTCCGCGACGTCCACCGTGGCAACCGTGAGCCCAGCCCCGTCCCTGGGGGCGTCCTCGACCTCGATGCTACCGAGGCCCTCAGCCGTCAACAGGTTCACGCGAGGCGGGGCCCGAAAGTGTGCGTTAGCTCGCCGCGCGTCCAGGATCATCCTGAGCGACCCAGACTTCTTCTCCACGAAGAACAGCCCGACGCGCTCGCGGCAGCTCAAAGAGAACTTCACGAGACCTCTCCGATGCAGATCCTTCAGGAAGCGAACGTACCTTCTCCGATTCCGTGTCAGCGCGGGATCGACATAGCAAGGGGCGTCATGAAATTCAGCTTCAGTTAAGTCACAATCAGCAGTCAGGCGCATTCGCTCTCCACCCCCTTCCAGAAAGCACCGACCACGAGCGCCGACAAGCTCCTCGATACACTTGCAGTCAGTCGCGTCCGAGGGAAGCGACACCAGATCATGCCTGAAAGGGGCCAGAGCAGTTGAGGACGGGTCGGCGTCGGTGTATCCGCCACCCCTCCCGCGGAGCAACTCCATCAGAGCCGCCTCCGAAGTGAGATGGTGGGCATGGCCGCCACTGGGCTGCTGGAGCTGAGCCAGCCCCTCCAGATAGCTCCTCGTCGCGTCCGCCATCTCCGACGCCAGGCCGACGGGCGCGGGCGCCACGCCCTTCGAGTCGCGACGGCGGTGCCCGCTCATCCAATTAAGTGCATCAAATGCTCCTGCCACTAGCGAGGGTATCACCTCGCGCTCGCGGTCCTTCCGCTGCTGCTTCTTCGACCGCCCGACCCGACAGGATGGGTCCACATGCAAGGCGGGAAGCGGAAAGAGCCGCCTCCGCCCCTGGGCCGCCAGGCACGGCCCGCCCCCGACGCTCAGAGGACCGCGGCCCGGGGACTCGACACCGCGGCCCCTCTCCATCATCATGGCTCGTCCGCGGGCGCCGCACGCCCCTCGCGCGCGGCCCCGCGTCCTTCCTCCTCCCCGTGCTGCTCGCTGCCGTCCTCCAACTGCGTCACGTGGATCACGCGGCGACCGCGCTGCGCAGGGGTGAAGGGGTGCCCGTTGATCGCGAGCCCGCCGAACTCGTCGACATCATCCTCGGCCGCAGCCGCCGCGGGAGCCCCCGCCTGGACGATCGGCCCTCCCTCTGCGACGGGCCCTGCCCAGACCACGCGGCCGCGGTCCAGCACAGCCGCCCACGGCACGTCCTCCTCTGGGGCGTCCACCGCCATCTCCTCCTCGCTCTCTTCCTCGCCTCCTGGGCGATCGTCACTGGCTGCTGCTTCCTCCAGCTCCTCATCCTCCTCGTCCTCGTCGTCCTCGGAGTACAGCAGCTCTGGGTTCCTCAGCCCGCACTGGTCGCACTCGAGCCCGCACATGTTGGGCGCCAAGCACCCTCTGCAGATCCACCCAAGAGGTGACCCGCCCTGCGCCGAGCCAACTCCCAAACCAGGGGAGGCCGAGCCCCCACGCGGCGCCTCAGAGCGCGGCGTCGCGGGAGCGTCGGAGGCGCTGCGAACGGGCCCAGAGCGGTCGTCCTCAGCGACTGACCACTCCCCCTCCACTGGGGCGGACCCCGCAGGCGCGGTGTATAACACCTCGGCGCCTGACCTCGACCGAAGGATGAGCTGCTCGCGGAGGCCCACTATCTCTCCGTCCGAGAGGTCCATGTCACTATCGCCTCCGTGTTCCTCCTCGAGCTCCTGGGCGATCACCGCGCGCACCTCCAGCGACAGCGAGGGCGGGCCGTCGGCGCTCATGCCGTCGCCCTGCCCCACGCCCTGCTCGCCAGACATCGCGGCGGATGAGGCTTCTCCAAGCCACGCGCAGCCCGAGGCCACAGGCCACAGAGCAGAACTCTGATGAAAGAGAAAAGCGAGGCTTGAGCCAAAGGTTTAAGGACATGGAGGGGGGTCTTACAGGGGCCCGACAGCCGAAAACCCCCGCACGTCATTTTCGTGCTACGCACACCCATGATTACAGTCGGACCTACAGTAGGAGCTCGATCACAAGAAGCCTTCCACAGGAAAACCTGTCCCTGAGACCCCAGGACGTCCCCTGATGTTTGGTGCGGGAACGTCACGCTCTTTCCATAGCAAAACCATCGAAACCCTCGAAACCCAGGGCACCCTGGAAGCAAGCAGGGTGTTTCTTGGCATGGGTTTCCTCTGTACAGCGAGACCTAGGCCAAGAGGCCATCCTCCAAGACCATGAGACCCTCAACCGGCCAGAACACACACAGAACATGCCAGGGTGCCCTCCCAGGAGGCACAAGAGCATCCAGCAAGCACGAAGAGCGTTAGGGCACCCTCCCCGAGCCGACCTCGATCTGATTGGGGACACCAAAAGGTACCGATACCGCTACATTCCCAGACCTCTCCTGGGGTGCATTCTGCCTAGAATTTCGAGGCGAATCCAGCGGTGGCGACGAGGGCCTCGCAGGAGGCCCAAAGAGAGGAAAACGAGGGGGGAAGTGTTCGGTATAGGTACAGTTCCCTCCTCCGTCTCATACCTCGCTCCGACTGTATGATGCCGTCAGTCCGAGAGGCGGCAGCGGCGGCGGCGGCGGCGACGAGACCGAAGGCGCGGGAACGACGGCGCCGCGATGCCCGAGCGGGGCGCGGGGCGAGGCCGAGCGGAGCGCGCGGACCTCCGGCACGAGAGAGGGCGGGGGGAGGAGGCGGCACGGGAGACTCGGGGGCGGGGCTCCGGCCTCCTGGCGCGAGTGTGGTCGGGCATGTCCTCCCACAGGCGGACCTTGAAGAGAACAAAAAAAAAAAAACTTGAGAATGGTTGAAGAAGAACCGAAAAATCGTCCCCTAACGATTTGCTTACTTTTGTGAATCTCCCTCCTGTAGAAGGACATGCCCGACTCAACGGGAAAAAAGAAAGCACGAGCATAGACTTTCGGCGCTCCGTGCGGATCTCTCGGACGGGCGCCAGGGGCCCCCTCCGGCGGCGCCTCCGCCACGGCCGCACCTGGCGCGCTCCGCGCGCCAGGGGCAGGGGTCCACAGCGCCGATCCCTAAGGAACATCCACGACCTCGGAAAGTTTACGGCCGGACCTGGGACAGAAGGGCGTCCATCCAGGACATGAGCCCCTCCGCGGCCAGAGCACTCAGAGCATCCCAGGGCACCCTCCCCAGGATGCACAGGAGCATCCAAGGAGCACGAAGAACACTAGGGCACCCTCCCCGAACCAACCTCGATACCCAGGTCCGACTGCATGTTCACGCCGTCGTCTTTCGTCGACGGCGGCGAGGCCGCGGGCGCGTCCCTCCTGAGCAGCTTTCGCTTGCCGAGCTCGTATATTCGCAGCGCCTTGCCCACGCTCGCGAGGAGCCTCGGGCGGGGGCCGCGGCCGCCACGCTTCGACTCGTCCTCATCATCATCATCATCATCATCATCATCATCATCATCATCATCATCATCATCATCATCATCATCATCATCATCATCATCATCATCATCATCAGCATCAGCATCATCATCATCATCATCATCATCAGCAGCAGCAGCAGCACATCATCATCATCATCATCATCATCATCATCATCATCATCATCATCATCATCATCATCATCATCATCATCATCATCATCATCATCATCATCATCATCATCATCATCATCATCATCATCATCATCATCCGAAACAGCATCACCATCATCATCATCATCATCATCAGCATCATCATCAGCATCATCATCATCATCATCCGAAACAGCATCACCATCATCATCATCATCATCATCATCATCATCAGCATCATCAACATCATCATCAGAAACATCATCATCACCACCACCCTCATCACGGTTCAGAGCCGTCATCAGCACCACCATCATCAATGCCGTACTCACCACCACCACCCTCAGCGTGCATCAACACTATCGGAACGGTCGCCACCACCGCCATCGTCATTTACTGCTCCGTTGTGGTAAGCTCCGCTGCCGGGCAATCTGCGTCGGCCAGATGTGCCCCGCGCCTCGCGGCGTGCCTGCCAAAACTGCCCAGACCCGCCGCGTGCCGTCTGCCCACCTGTGCCACTCCGCGCCTCTGCACTCTCGCAGGCCCCAGGTCGGTGCCGCCAGAGCCGGAGAGAGTCTTGCCTGACCACGCGCGAATCCCTGCGAGCTCGGCCGACCCTCCATCCATCCCAGCCAGCGCGATGCGGTGAGATAGGGCGTTTGGCCGACGAGAACGAAAGACAGGGACAGAGACAGAAAAAGAGATAAGTAGAGAAATGAATATAGGAACAAAGAGAGAGAGAGAGAGAACAACAAAAAGAGAGAGAGAGAGAGAGAGAGATATATATATATATATATATATATATATATAGATATATATATATATTGAGAACGAGGATGAGGAGTAGGAGGCGGAGCAGCATGAACAGGAGGAGCAGAGAGACGACGACGACGGCGGCGGCGGCGGCGACGACGAGGAGGGAGACGAGGATGCGGAGGATGAGGGATAGGAGTAGGCGGAGGAGGTAGAAAGCGAGGAGAAGAGGAAAAGGAGGAGAAGGAAGAGGAAAAGGAGGGGATGGGGAGGGGAAGCTGGCGGGCGGGCTTAGGAGGCGAGGCAGGATTGGCTGGCGCCTGCCCTCGAAGGGGAAGAGGCACAGGGGCACGTCGTCCAGGGGCGTGGAGTGGATCAGCTGAAGGTGGTACCTCTCGTCATACATGTAGGTCTTGATGGTGGCCTGCGCGGGGGTCTGGGGGCACAGGCCGTCTTCGGCCGCCGGGGGCCCCTGCCAGGACTCGGGGCCGTCAAAAAACTCGACTCGAGGAGTGATCCTCCTCCTCCTCCTCCTCCTCCTCCTCCTCCTCCTCCTCCTCCTCCTCCTCCTCCTCTTCCTCCTCAGCTTTCCCGTGGCCGAGGATGAGGAAGAGAAGATCGAGCAAGCGCTACGTGTAGAAGAAACTTCAACCGAGCCTTGGTTTGTGGGCAAACACGCCCTGTTTGAATTCAAAGCTCTGGGACTTGATTACAGTTTGGTGTTCTGTACGACGTGCTGCAAGTATTTCAATCTGGAGTCGCACAAGGGTCTGGATGTGGTGTGTCTTGGGAGGTCTGCGACAGGCCGCGTTGTTGAAAATACCAGGCACTTCGAGAATCTCAGACATCCACAAAGTTCAAAGAAGCAAGTGAAGCTGGATGGTCCTTTTCGGCCGTCGGCCTCGAAAAGGAAAATCATGTGCAAGGTTAAGCATTGGACAGATCCATTGGTTGACACAGTCGTGGCGAGACCAGGGGCAGCTTCGCCTTCGGCAGCCTGCTGGTCCAGGGTCCAGGTACCTAGTCGTGCCCAGAGTCCTACGAGGATATGGGCTTCATATGGAGATATTCAGGAGCTGGGACAACCTCGTCCCGACGAAGGCTCAGATGAAGGTGGCGATGATGAGCTCTTTCTCTGACTGCCAGGCTGCAGCAAGTTTGGCTATCAAATCCTGCCTAAGGCAGGTCCATATGTCGCCAGGCAGGTGCAGGCCGGCCAGGTCCCTTGGGATTGCAGCTATGCTGGCCCTTGGGCACCTTATGTGCTGGCCTGCATCCAGCCAGTTTTGCAAAGCGCGGCTCGAACACCATCGTGCTGGGCCACGTGAGGGGTTGGCTCGGCCCTCGTCGCCGATTTCCGCGAGGGCGCCTTTGGCCACCTGTGCGCGCTGGGCCACCTGTGGATCGGCCCCACCCTGCTGTCGCTGGGGCCGCGGGACGTGGGGTTCCACGTCTTGGCAGGCTTCGTGCTGGTGAGCACGGGCCTGCCGCAGGCCCCGTGCCCTGGCCGCTCGGCCGCCCTGCCTGGTCCGACTGGCTCCCCCGCCCCCGCCTTGGTGCTTGCAACGCGGTTCCTGGCCCTGTGGGCTCCGTGGTGTAGGTGCTGGGGTGGGGGTTGGGGGGGCTAGTGGGCCCTCCGCCCGCCCGCGCGGGCCGACCCAACCGCCTCTCGGCTGCTCGCTCGCTCGCTCCTCTTCCTCCTCCTCCTCCTCCTCCTCCTCCTCCTCCTCCTCCTCCTCCTCCTCCTCCTCCTCCTCCTCCTCCTCCTCCTCCTACACCTACTCCTATCCTTATTCCTTATTAGAATATACTGTATACTCCTACTCCCCCCTCAGGCCGGCCATTAGGGGCCGCATCCGGGTGGTCCCATCCTAACCTGTAAAAAACAGTACAAAATCAACATTTTTCTTATTTTTTCCTCTCGACATGGACGTCCTGTCGTCCACGGCGATAATCCATTGCAAAAAATACCACAAAGAGCACACGCGCGCGTTCATGTCAGAATCCTACCGAACACCGTGTGTTTGCAAGCATTTCAACATAAAAACATCAAAAACCCAATGCTTTTTCACAAAAATTGTACAAATTTCCCGCCCGGGCTCTCTTGCTGAAATCATAGGAAAACCATAGGAATCTTAAGAATTCTGTCAAATCCAGCGATTTCACGTCATCGCGCGGTGCACTCGCGATGCTCTGTCATGCACCCAGGCCGCGAATCCTGTGCAAAAAATACCACAAAGAGCACACTCGCGCGTTCATGTCAGAATCCTACCGAACACCGTGTGTTTGCAAGCATTTCAACATAAAAACATCAAAAACCCAATGCTTTTTCACAAAAATGCTTTGGGGTGTCCTGTCAGACCGTCGGGCTTCCTCCGGCCACCTCTGGCTTCCTGCGGTGTACCGGGCCATTCTCGACTCGTCTGGCAATGCGTGCGCGGCATTCAACACGCGCTCGCCAGTTCCCGTCGGCAACCGCCATCGCGGCCGCATCAGCTGTACCAAACCGGCTGGCCGGTGTGACTTCGGCCCCCAGTTGTGCCAGCTTTGCTTCTTTTGTTGTGGGAGGGCGGGTGGGACTGGGCATGCCATGCTTGACTCGCTCGAGCTGGCTAGCTTGATTCCTACTCCTACTCCTCCTCTTCGGGAGCAGAAGGGAGAAGAGGGAGGAGAGGGACGGAGAGGGGGCAAGGAGGAGGAGGAGGGGGAGAAAGCTGCACTTACAAGATTGAAGGCGAAGGACTCGAAAGGATCGAATCAGGATCTGCACCATGCACGCTCCACGCACGCACGCCGTTGCACGCGTGCATCGGCCCCGTGGGGCAGAGCCCCACCCCCCATCGGGCACAACGCGCTCTCCGCGGGGACGGGAGGCCCCAGGCCCAAACAGAAGCACCGAAAACCTCACACAACGAGACCTCTACAGCAAGCTAATGTCGGGACGACCCCAGCGCTGGTTTCTGACACCGCGTGGATCGTTCAACCATGAACGATCGGTGGCTTTTCGATCGCTCGATCGTTCCATCGTGGCCGATTCTGGACCACTGTTGGCGTTCAACCTTGAACGCCCGCGGCGGGGTCGTCGCCGCGTCAACACGACACACGCCTACCGTACTCGTCCTGTTTGTGCTGAGTTAGCGCCGAACGGTCGAGATCCCCATCCGTGATTTGAGCGAGTGCCTCTATGGAGTCGCGTCGTTCTGGCACCCGGCGCGCCGGGAAATGAGGCCCTCAGCCGCCGACTTCTGGGGAAACTGGTAGGCCTGGCGACGATTCCAACTCAGCGTCTTCGCATTGGGATCCTTGCGAAGCCAGGTCCACCAGAGGCCCAGCTGAGGTCCACCAGAGGTTGAAGCCCCAACATGCGTTCGGGCCAGAAGATGCTCCCCGAAAGCCCTCAGAGGCCCTGAGGTGCCCAGAGAAAGCTCCAAGAGGCCGCTCCAAATTCCACCAAGAGGCCCCAGGATGCCCCTCAGATCCCTCACGAGGCCCCCCAGAGCCCCCAGCGGTGCCTCTGACTAGCCAGGATTCAACCTGGGGACCCGCTGGTAGCGAATGTCGCTTGAAATCCAGGTCCTGAAACACCGCATCTAAGGCAAACAGTCTGAAATGCGCACTCATCTGATCGAAGCTGACGCTCCCAGGAAACTGAGTCAGCATCATCACGTGATAGCCACAAACACTTGACTGCGAATAAGTTGAATTACTTTAATGTGCACTGCTCCTGATCCGCCACCCTGCCTTGAGCATGTAGTGGAGCGCCCAAGTGAGACTGGTAAGGGGCTGTATGGCTCTTCTGAGCAGACAAAAACCGAGACCCTGATAAGCTGGAATCGCCAGGCGCTGCTGGGCCTTTCTTGGGTGTGGCGCGGGACATCCCAAGGCACAAATACAGCATTCATGCCTCGGAAGATGTGCCAGGCCAGACCTTTCCCACCCCAGAGGACCCAAAGAATCCCGAGAGGCCACCTGGAGATCCTCGGGGTGAGGCCCAGAGATCCCCTGGAGGCCCTCGCGGTGGCGGGATAGTCCAGAGGCCACAAGACAGAATCTGGCGTGCACTGGTACGCGTACATGGATATCGTGCTATTGCATTTGGTGCAATGTATACCTGACATCACGTTTACATCACACTTACCACCTCGATTGTGTTGTCATTGCTTGCTGGCCTACCTCATCCCCTTCGTGATGGACTGCCAAGGTGGGAGTCGTGGACGGGTCAGGAGGAGGGGGGGAGAGACTGGGATAGGGGCCTGGCCAGAACGGTAAGGCACAAACTCAACGGCCCTCGGCACAGGATGCACTCGCAAGGGCTCGGCGACGAGGGCACAGCGGCAGGGGGCGACGAGGAACAAGGTACACCGTGCATAGAACCTCCAAGGGCAGGAGCAAGGAGACAGTGCAAATAAAGGAAAACAAAACAGCACAAACAGAAACGTTGAGACATCTGCGCGGAACTCCGAAAATGTACGTTCAATGCCTGTTCTTCTTCGACAGAAGCAAAGGGATGCCGCGAAAGGGCCCAGTCCCGCGCAGCCTTCGGCGCGTGCCGTGGGTATAGTGTCATGTTGTAGACGGTGCCCACGACCAGGCAGGGCTGGTTCGCGAGCTGCGAGAAGTAGCACACGGTGAGGCACAGGGCAGCCTGGGCGGGGTTGGGGGGGCGTCACGCGCCCACTCGCGCCGGGCGCACCCCTCCTCTTTTGCCTCCTCGCAGCAGTGCTTGCCCCCGCCACATAACAATGCTCACATCATCCTGACGCATCGCGCATTATGACTACCCGCCACCGTGCCTCGAGGCACGATTTGGATTGTTCTCTGGCCCGCCCAGAATCCCCAGGAGGCCCACAAGAGGCTCAAATCAGGCCCCAGGAGGCCCCAAGAGGCCCCGAGAGGCCCCGAGACACCCTCAAAACCGCCTCCAGGAGGCTTCCGAAAGACCTCCCAAGAGATCCCAGAGAGTATCCAAGAGGCATCTGACCTACAACCTAGGCACGGTGGCTGGATGGGCCGAAGGCCACTAGGTCCGCCGCCTGCTTGGCACGGGGACGGAAAGCGCACGTACTTTCAGAGCGCACGGGATCGCTGGCTCGTCCGCTCTTACACCTCTTATTGACTCCCTTCCCCTCGCTCTTGTCCTATCTCAGCCTCGGAGAGTCGCGGAGCTTTCTTTGAGCGCGTTTCTTGCTTTTGGAGGGGGCGGTCGGGTCGCGTTGCGTTTTCCGCGTTTGGGCTGCCAGCTTTCCAGAACCCCGCGTTGTCCTTGCGTGGACCGCTCGTTGTCCACGCGTTGCCGCCCGTCCCTGTGCCCTGGCTGCAAGAACTTATTACGCCGCAGCTCTCTGTTGGGAGCTTTGGTCTTATCAGCTCGATTACGTCACCGCTCGCTCTTGGGAGCCGCGGTGCTAAGAGCCTTTGGGAGTATTTTGGCCTCTTGGGGGGCTCTTGGGGAGCCTCTTGCGTGCCTCTTGGGGACCTTTTGGGACTTTTCGGAGGCCTCTGAGGGCCTCCTGGGAGCTTCTGGGCTGCGGGGGTGAAGGGATCAGGCTGCCTTTGGCCGTCTTTGGGCTCTCTTGGGGGCCTCTCGGGGCCTTCTTGGGGCCGTCCTGGGGCCGTCTTGGGCCGTCTTGGCGCCTCTTGGGCCGTCTTGGCGCCCGCTTGGGCCGTTTTGGACCCTTCTTGGGGCCTTCCTGGGGCCGTCTTGGGCCGTCTTGGCGCCTCTTGGGCCGTCTTGGCGCCCTCTTGGGCCGTTTTGGGGCCTTCTTGGGGGCCTCTTGGGCCTTCTTGGGGCGCTCTTGGGGGCTTCTTGGAGAGTCGTCGACGCCTCTTGGCCCGTCTTGGCGCCCTCTTGGGCTATTTTGGGGGCCTCTTGGGAACATCTTGGGCCGTCTTGGGCCGGTCTTGGGGGCCTCTTGGACCGTCTTCAACGCCATGAAAGGCGAAAAGCCGTATATGCTAAAAATGCGCGTTTTCCCTAAGAAAATTAATGATTTTGGCCTCTTGGGGCCCGCTTGGGACGCCTCGTGGGCGCCTCCTGGGGCGTCGTGCAGGCCTCTTGGGACGTCTTGGGGCCGCCTTGGGCGGTCTTGGGCTCTCTTGAAGCGCTCTTGGGCCGTCTTGGGCGCTTCTTGGGCCGTCTTGGGCCGTCTTGGGCACCGTCTTGGCCGCTTCCTGGGCTGTCTTAGGTGCCAAACTTATTTTCAGAGCGCACGAGATCGCTGGCTCGCCCGCTCTCACACATCTTATTGACTCCATTCCCCTCGCTCTTGTCCTATCTCAGCCTCGGAGAGTCGCGGAGCTTTCTTTGAGCGCGTTTCTTGTTTTGGAGGGGGCGGTCGGGTCGCGTTGCGTTTTCCGCGTTTAGGCTGCCAGCTTTCCAGAACCCCGCGTTTTCCTTGCGTGGACCGCTCGTTGTCCACGCGTTGCCGCCCGTCCCTGTGCCCTGGCGTCAAGAACTTATTACGCCGCAGCTCTCTGTTGGGAGCTTTGGTCTTATCAGCTCGATTACGTCACCGCTCGCTCTTGGGAGCCGCGGTGCTAAGAGCCTTTGGGAGTATTTTGGGCCTCTTGGGGGGCTCTTGGGGAGCCTCTTGGGTGCCTCTTGGGGACCTTTTGGGGCTTTTCGGGGGCCTCTGGGGGCCTCCTGGGAGCTTCTGGGCTGCGGGGGTGAAGGGACTAGGCTGCCTTTGGCCGTCTTTGGGCTCTCTTGGGGGCCTCTTGGACCCTTCTTGGGGCCTTCCTGGGGCCGTCTTGGGCCGTCTTGGCGCCTCTTGGGCCGTCTTGGCGCCCGCTTGGGCCGTTTTGGTGCCTTCTTGGGGGCCTTTTGGGCCTTCTTGGGGCGCTCTTGGGGGCTTCTTGGAGAGTCGTCGACGCCTCTTGGCCCGTCTTGGCGCCCTCTTGGGCTATTTTGGGGGCTTCTTGGGAACATCTTGGGCCGTCTTGGGGCGGTATTGGGGGCCTCTTGGACCGTCTTCAACGCCATGAAAGGCGAAAAGCCGTATATGCTAAAAATGCACGTTTTCCTAAGAAAATCACTGATTCTGGCCTCTCGGGGCCCTCTTGGGACGCCTCGTGGGCGCCTCCTGGGGCGTCGCGCAGGCCTCTTGGGACGTCTTGGGGCCGCCTTGGACTGTCTTGGGCTCTCTTGGAGCGCTCTTGGGCCGTCTTGGGCGCTTCTTGGGCCGTATTGGGCCGTCTTGGGCGCCGTCTTGGCCGCTTCTTGGGCTGTCTTAGGCGCCTAAGACGGCCCAAGAAGCGCCCAAGAAGCGTTGTCCGATGATGTCTCGAGCGAAACGCTGTTTTTCAGCCCCGAAGGCCGTCCTACTCTATAAAAAAACGAGGCGGGAGGGCAATTAAACCTGCTTGGCACGGGGACGGAAAGCGCACTTACTTTCAGAGCGCACGAGATCGCTGGCTCGTCCGCTCTTACACCTCTTATTGACTCCCGTCCCCTCGCTCTTGTCCTATCTCAGCCTCGGAGAGTCGCGGAGCTTTCTTTGAGCGCGTTTCTTGTTTTGGAGGGGGCGGTCGGGTCGCGTTGCGTTTTCCGCGTTTGGGCTGCCAGCTTTCCAGAACCCCGCGTTTTCTTTGCGTGGACCGCTCGTTGTCCACGCGTTGCCGCCCGTCCCTGTGCCCTGGCGTCAAGAACTTATTACGCCGCAGCTCTCTGTTGGGAGCTTTGGTCTTATCAGCTCGATTACGTCACCGCTCGCTCTTGGGAGCCGCGGTGCTAAGAGCCTTTGGGAGTATGTTGGGCCTCTCGGGGGGGCTCTTGGGGAGCCTCTTGGGTGCCTCTTGGGGACCTGTTGGGGCTTCTCGGGGGCCTCTGTCTGGGGGGCCTCCTGGGAGCTTCTGGGCTGCGGGGGTGAAGGGACCAGGCTGCCGTTGGCCGTATTTGGGCTCTCTTGGGGGCCTCTTGGGGCCTTCTTGGGGCCGTCCTGGGGCCGTCTTGGGCCGTCTTGGCGCCTCTTGGGCCGTCTTGGCGCCCTCTTGGGCCGGTTTTGGGCCCTCTTGGGGGCCTCTTGGGCCTTCTTGGGGCGCTCTTAGGGGCCTCTTGGACAGTCTTGGGCGCCTCTTGGCCCGTCTTGGCGCCCTCTTGGGCTATTTTGGGGGCCTCTTGGGAGCATCTTGGGCCGTCTTGGGGCGGTCTTGGGGGCCTCTTGGACCGTCTTCAACGCCATGAAAGGCGAAAAGCCGTATATGCTAGAAATGCACGTTTCCCTTAAGCCAATCAATGATGTTGGCCTCTTGGGGCCCTCTTGGGACGCCTCGTGGGCGCCTCCTGGGGCGTCGTGGAGGCCTCTTGGGACGTCTTGGGGCCGCCTTGGGCGGTCTTGGGCTCTCTTGGAGCGCTCTTGGGCCGTCTTGGGCGCTTCTTGGGCCGTCTTGGGCCGTCTTGGGCGCCGTCTTGGCCGCTTCTTGGGCTGTCTTAGGCGCCTAAGACGGCCCAAGAAGCGCCCAAGAAGCGTTCTCCGTTGATGTCTCGAGCGAAACGCTGTTTTGAAACCCCGAAGGCCGTCCTACTCGATAAAAAAACGATGCGGGAGGGCAATTAGATCCGGGCCCGCGGATGCCAACCCCCTCGAACTCCCCCAAATCCAATTTCTTCCGACTAACGGACCGCACGCTAACGCGCGCTTTCCGTCATCCGGGTCTGGCGATGCCACCCCCCTCGAACTCCCCCAAGTCCAATTTCTTCCGACTAACGGACCGCACGCTAACGCGCGCTTTCCGTCATCCGCCGCCCCCTGTTGATTCATCACAGGGGTGCCTGGCGTGCTGGATTTCTTATGGTTTTGGTTTTGGTTCTTTTTCCAAAAGAACTCCCCCTGGCGCTTCGGCCCGTCCCGCCGGGGTCCCGGGAGGGAGCTCCAGGCCGCAAACGACCTCAACGTCCACAGAAAATTTTCCAAGACGGCTCAAGATGGCCTCCAAGACGGCCAAGATCGCCCTCAAGCTCGCCCAAGATGGTCCAAGATGGCCTCCAAGTCTGCCCAAGATGGTCCAAGATGGCCTCCAAGGCGGCCCAAGAGGCCCGACGGCGTCAAACGGGCCAGGAACCCACCAAGACGGCCGAAGTTGGCTCGAAGCTGGCCTAAGACGGCCCAAGAGGCCTCCAAGAGGGCCTCCAGGAAGGCCCGAAAAGGCAAACAACATTGATTTTCCTAGGGTTTTGAAGGATTTTGACATGTGCTTCTTTTCGGCCTTCCAACGGCCCGAGACGGCCCAAGAGCACCCAAAGATCGCCCAAAGATCGCTCAAGAGGCTTCCAAGATGGGCCCAGAACGGCCCAAGAGGCCCCCAAGACGGCCCCAAGAGGCCCCCAAGACGGCCCAGGAGGCCTTTAAGACACCCAAGATGGCCTCCAAGACGGCCCTGGAGCATTCCAAGAGGGCCCCAAGTCGGTTCAGAGAGGCCCCCCAAACGGCTTCCGACGGCGTCGGACGGGCCAAGAGCCCACCAAGACGGCCGAAGATGGCCCTAAAATGGCCTAAGACGGCCCGAGAGGCACCCAAGAGGGCCTCCAGGATGGCCCGAAAAGGCCACTATCATCGATGTCCGATGAGTGTTTTAAGGAATTGTGGCATTTGCTTTTTTCGGCCTTCCGACGGCCCAAGACGGCCCAAGTGCCCCCAAAGATCGCCCAATGGGCCCAAGACGGCCCCAAGAGGCCCCCAAGACGGCCCAAGAGGCCTCCAAGACGCTCAAAATGGCCTCCAAGACGGCCCAAGAGCCCTCCAAGACGTCCTCCAAGAATGCCCGAAAGGGTCAAAATGGCCTCCCGACGGCCAAGATGACCTTCAAGATGCCCACGTATTCCCCGAAGGCTTTCCAAACCGATTCGGGGAACACATGATCCGATAGTTTGGCAGGTCTGGCCTCAACTTTCGGCCACATAGGCACTTCCAAGGCAGGGGGCGATGGTGATTCGCAGTAGGCGTCTTCGATATCCCGTAACACACAAAAATTGGCAAACGTGTGTTTGATCTCCGTGTGTCATTGTTTCGGAACTGCTTCTGAGAGAATACATTTGCGAGTGCTCAGCTGACGTCACATGTGTTGTCCCTTCGCGAACGCATTCAGTATACCAACTGTGCGACCGAGTGTGGACATGTAGGCGCGATCGTTGCACTCAACACAGGCATCCCACACATCCAACGCCATGCGCATCGCGCACCTCACCTGCACCTACGCAAAATGCTGGAAATCAAACTTACATTCACAGTCATCATGAGCACACGTCAGCGTATGCAAACATGCAGGCAGGCAGGCAAGATGGCACGGCTTGCACGTCTGACCACGTGCGCCCAAGACGCCTAATTACACTACACGCTCTCGAGATGCCTGATTATAGCCACTACACTCCACTACGCAAATGCTACGCAGATATCATCTACCACTACACAGAATGTCACACAACGCATGACCGACCAATCGCAATGCATCACAACGCACCGTCCGACCGCATTGCACCCCGAAACGAGCCCAAATAGAAACCTCCTGTATGCATTGACGACCGCACACACTCAAGCATCGCAGCGTCCACGACCCAGCGAAACAACAACTACTTGCACTAGCCTGGGAAATCTGACAAACATGAACCTGCACAAAGAGAAAACGACTAGACGCACTACTCTGCGGCTGCTATCCGACTACGAGGCTGGAATGTGATGGCCACCTTCTGAGGCATACAATCATACTGGAAGGCTTCTAGATACGTCGATACAAATGGGCACGTCCATGCAGCAGCCAGCCCCCGTCCAGCAGTAGAAGTGTGCGGGGCGGGGCCTCGTCGATGTCGAGGTCAAGCTTGAATACAGCGCTAAGATTGGAAGGGTTGATGATCCTGTGGATGTGACACATGTAACAGCAGGCCGCAGTCCAACGAGCTGTTGGAGAGGAGAACGGTGCAGGAATGGGACCAGGACAACAAACGAACGAAGCATGAATTCGTGAGACTACCAACGCAACTGCTTTGCAACAAGTCGCTTCCAGTGGTACGATCATGATGTTTTCAGGTTAGAATCTACGCAAATGGCAAGTGGCCCTCGAACTCAAAGGGTGGGCGATCAGACAGACAGATAGACAGACAGACAGACGCCCGCATCGCGACGAAGCGCGCTCCTGGCCGGCGTGGGTGGAAAGCGCCGCAGCGCCCACCCGCAGCGCCGCAGCGCCAGTGTGGGCTATCGACTCCCTCATCGGCGATGTCTGGGCGATTTGGGGTCGATGCCTCCCCCCCGAGCCGATCCCCCCCCCGAACGCTGCTCCTGACGAGGGAGGACCACAGCCCTCGCGACCCGAGGCGACGCCGAGGGGCGGCAGCGAGCGCTGGCACCCCCGAGCGGGCCCGTGCCCCCGGCTGACCGACGCACACCTCGGCCGCCGGCCTTACGGCAGCACCTCCGGCTCCCGGCTGCGGGGGGTCGCGCCCGGAGCTTCGGGTCAAGGCGCACGCCCGCGGCGGCAGGCGGCAGGTCCGCAGACTGCAGCAGGAGCTCGACCAGAAGAAGCCCTCCACGAGAAACCCAAGCCCGAGACCCCAGGACGTCCACTGACTTCTGGTGCGGGAGCGGCGCGCTGTCCGTAGCAAACCCATCGAAACCCAAGAAACCCAGGGCACCCTGGAGGCAAGCGCAAGCAGGGTGTCTCCTAGCATGGGTTTCCGCTGTACTACCCCGTCCCATGCCTTGAGTAGGGCTGGGGGGTCAGGCCTGCAGAACACCCCAAACGGACGTCAAGGGGCGCAACCAACCTGATTGGTCAAGCTGAAATCGATGCACCACACCCTGCGTCAAGCCAAAACTTTGGACACAAGCGAACAGTTTGATCTTGCACATTTTCGCCAGCTCAACCGGCGAAGCGTTTGCCCGCCTCGTCCCTTTTTTGGTGGTCCTGCAGAGGAAGGCGCTCTCTGACCCCCTGCCCGACCCACAAGGGAACGAACAATGACATCAACGTAAAAACTATGAGGTCCGCGCGGATTTCTCGGATCGGCGCTGGAGCCCCCTCTCTGGCGCGCGGAGCGCGCCAAGGGCGGCGCCGGAGGCGCCACCAGGGGGCTCCAGCGCCGATCCGAGAAATCCCCGCGGACCTCCGAGTTGTTATGTTTATGTGATTCTTCGCTCCCCGAACTCAACCCATGCCCTCCCCCTCCCCGTCGCCGCTCCCCGTCTGCTTCACCTTCCCCCTCCCCCCTCTCCCGCTCCCTCTTGCCCCTTCCCTCCCCTCCTCCCCCGCCACTCCTCGCGCCGTGCTCTCCCAACCCATGCCCGCTCCCCTGTACCGCCACCCCATCCCACCCCTCCTCCTCCTCCTCCTCCTCCTCCTCCTCCTCCTCCTCCTCCTCCTCCTCCTCCTCTCTCCTCCTCTTCCTCCTCCTCCTCCTCCTCCTCCTCCTCCTCCTCCTCCTCCTCCTCCTCCTCGGGTGGGATCCCTCCGAGTCGAGGGGCGAAGCCTGCGGCAGGCTTCGCGTCCCCCGTCGACGCGTCGCCGCCGGAGGCCGCCGTCGCCGCCGTCGCCGCCGCCGACAAGGCTCGTCCCGAGCGAAGCCGGACCAGAAGGAATCGGCAGAAGTCGGCTGAAACATCGAATCGGCAAGAGTCGGACCGGGCGAACTCGAAATCGGAGCGTCGTGCATCGGAGGGTTCGCATCGAGCAGGATCGCAGCTGCACCCTAGGAAGTCGATTCGAATTAGCCCGGAGGAGTCGGAAAGCGCCCTGACACTGTGGGCCCGCACCAAAAATGCGAGGTGGGGATTTAGCCTTACCCACCGCCTGGGGACCGACGCCCTGGTGCCCCAGCGGGTAGTCGATATGGAAGATGGATATACGTAGCACCCCGCAATTGCGGATAAGAGTGAGGGGGCGGGCGCGGGCGACGCGGGCGTCGTCGAGCCGGCGGACCTCGTGGCCCCCACCTTCCCTGTCGATGGCGCTCTCCTCCTCCTCCTCCTCCTCCTCCTCCTCCTCCTCCTCCTCCTCCTCCTCTTCCTCGTCCTCGTCCTCATCGTCATCGTCATCCTCCTCCTCCACCTCGTCCTCCTTCTCTTCTTCCTCGTCCTCTCCCTGTCGCCCTCGTCCTTTCATCATCGTCCTCTCATTGTCGTCCTCCCCCTCATCGGCCTCCATCATCGTCCTCCCATTGTCGTCCATCATCATCATCATCATCATCATCATCATCATCATCATCATCATCATCATCATCATCATCATCATCATCATCATCATCATCATCATCAATAATCATCATCAGCATCATCATCATCATCATCATCAGCATCATCATCATCATCATCATCATCATCATCATCATCATCATCATCATCATCATCATCATCATCATC